GTAAAAATCAATAAATTTTTTAAATATGTAAAAGTGATAATTAATATTATTGGCTAATTTTGGGTTTAAATATTCAAATGTAAAAATCAATAAATTTTTGCTAAATATGTAAAAGTGATAATTAATATTATTGGCTAATTTTGGGTTTAAATATTCAAATGTAAAAATCAATAAATTTTTGCTAAATATGTAAAAGTGATAATTAATATTATTGGCTAATTTTGGGTTTAAATATTCAAATGTAAAAATCAATAAATTTTTGCTAAATATGTAAAAGTGATAATTAATATTATTGGCTAATTTTGGGTTTAAATATTCAAATGTAAAAATCAATAAATTTTTGCTAAATATGTAAAATGTAATTAATATTATTGATAATTAATATTATTAAATTTTTGGCTAATTTTGGGTTTAAATTTCAAATGTAAAAATCAATAAATTTTTGCTAAATATGTAAAAGTGATAATTAATATTATTGGCTAATTTTGGGTTTAAATATTCAAATGTAAAAATCAATAAATTTTTGCTAAATATGTAAAAGTGATAATTAATATTATTGGCTAATTTTGGGTTTAAAGTTTCAAATGTAAAAATSAATAAATTTTATGTTAAATATGTAAAAGTGATAATTAATATTATTGGCTAATTTTGGGTTTAAATATTCAAATGTAAAAATCAATAAATTTTTGCTAAATATGTAAAAGTGATAATTAATATTATTGGCTAATTTTGGGTTTAAATTTTCAAAAATTAAAATCAATAAATTTTTGTTAAATATGTAAAAGTGATAATTAATATTATTGGCTAATTTTGGGTTTAAATATTCAAATGTAAAAATCAATAAATTTTTGCTAAATATGTAAAAGTGATAATTAATATTATTGGCTAATTTTGGGTTTAAATATTCAAATGTAAAAATCAATAAATTTTTGCTAAATATGTAAAAGTGATAATTAATATTATTGGCTAATTTTGGGTTTAAATTTTCAAAAATTAAAATCAATAAATTTTTGTTAAATATGTAAAAGTGATAATTAATATTATTGGCTAATTTTGGGTTTAAAGTTTCAAATGTAAAAATTAATAAATATTTATTAAATATGTAAAAGTGATAATTAATATTATTGGCTAATTTTGGGTTTAAATATTCAAATGTAAAAATCAATAAATTTTTGCTAAATATGTAAAAGTGATAATTAATATTATTGGCTAATTTTGGGTTTAAATATTCAAATGTAAAAATCAATAAATTTTTGCTAAATATGTAAAAGTGATAATTAATATTATTGGCTAATTTTGGGTTTAAATATTCAAATGTAAAAATCAATAAATTTTTGCTAAATATGTAAAAGTGATAATTAATATTATTGGCTAATTTTGGGTTTAAATTTTCAAAATATTAAAAATCAATAAATTTTTGCTAAATATGTAAAAGTGATAATTAATATTATTGGCTAATTTTGGGTTTAAATATTCAAATGTAAAAATCAATAAATTTTTGCTAAATATGTAAAAGTGATAATTAATATTATTGGCTAATTTTGGGTTTAAATTTTCAAAAATKTAAAAATCAATAAATTTTTGTTAAATATGTAAAAGTGATAATTAATATTATTGGCTAATTTTGGGTTTAAATATTCAAATGTAAAAATCAATAAATTTTTGCTAAATATGTAAAAGTGATAATTAATATTATTGGCTAATTTTGGGTTTAAAGTTTCAAATGTAAAAATTAATAAATATTTATTAAATATGTAAAAGTGATAATTAATATTATTGGCTAGTTTTGGGTTTAAATTTTCAAAAATTAAAATCAATAAATTTTTGCTAAATATGTAAGTGATAATTAATATTATTGGCTAATTTTGGGTTTAAATATTCAAATGTAAAAATCAATAAATTTTTGCTAAATATGTAAAAGTGATAATTAATATTATTGGCTAATTTTGGGTTTAAATATTCAAATGTAAAAATCAATAAATTTTTGCTAAATATGTAAAAGTGATAATTAATATTATTGGCTAATTTTGGGTTTAAATATTCAAATGTAAAAATCAATAAATTTTTGCTAAATATGTAAAAGTGATAATTAATATTATTGGCTAATTTTGGGTTTAAATTTTCAAAAATTAAAATCAATAAATTTTTGCTAAATATGTAAAAGTGATAATTAATATTATTGGCTAATTTTGGGTTTAAATATTCAAATGTAAAAATCAATAAATTTTTGCTAAATATGTAAAAGTGATAATTAATATTATTGGCTAATTTTGGGTTTAAATATTCAAATTAAAAATCAATAAATTTTTGCTAAATATGTAAAAGTGATAATTAATATTATTGGCTAATTTTGGGTTTAAATTTCAAATGTAAAAATGATAATTAATATTATTGGCAATAAATTTTTGTTAAATATGTAAAAGTGATAATTAATATTATTGGCTAATTTTGGGTTTAAATATTCAAATGTAAAAATCAATAAATTTTTGCTAAATATGTAAAAGTGATAATTAATATTATTGGCTAATTTTGGGTTTAAATATTCAAATGTAAAAATCAATAAATTTTTGCTAAATATGTAAAAGTGATAATTAATATTATTGGCTAATTTTGGGTTTAAAGTTTCAAATGTAAAAATTAATAAATATTTATTAAATATGTAAAAGTGATAATTAATATTATTGGCTAGTTTTGGGTTTAAATTTTCAAAAATTAAAATCAATAAATTTTTGCTAAATATGTAAAAGTGATAATTAATATTATTGGCTAATTTTGGGTTTAAATTTTCAAAAATTAAAATCAATAAATTTTTGTTAAATATGTAAAAGTGATAATTAATATTATTGGCTAGTTTTGGGTTTAAATTTTCAAAAATTAAAATCAATAAATTTTTGTTAAATATGTAAAAGTGATAATTAATATTATTGGCTAATTTTGGGTTTAAATATTCAAATGTAAAAATCAATAAATTTTTGCTAAATATGTAAAAATGATAATTAATATTATTGGCTAATTTTGGGTTTAAATATTCAAATGTAAAAATCAATAAATTTTTGCTAAATGTGTAAAAGTGATAATTAATATTATTGGCTAATTTTGGGTTTAAAGTTTCAAATGTAAAAATTAATAAATATTTATTATATATGTAAAAGTGATAATTAATATTATTGGCTAGTTTTGGGTTTAAATTTTCAAAAATTAAAATCAATAAATTTTTGCTAAATATGTAAAAGTGATAATTAATATTATTGGCTAATTTTGGGTTTAAATATTCAAATGTAAAAATYAATAAATATTTATTAAATATGTAAAAGTGATAATTAATATTATTGGCTAATTTTGGGTTTAAATTTTCAAAAATTAAAATCAATAAATTTTTGCTAAATATGTAAAAGTGATAATTAATATTATTGGCTAATTTTGGGTTTAAATATTCAAATGTAAAAATCAATAAATTTTTGCTAAATATGTAAAAGTGATAATTAATATTATTGGCTAATTTTGGGTTTAAATATTCAAATGTAAAAATCAATAAATTTTTGRTAAATATGTAAAAGTGATAATTAATATTATTGGCTARTTTTGGGTTTAAATTTTCAAAAATTAAAATCAATAAATTTTTGTTAAATATGTAAAAGTGATAATTAATATTATTGGCTAATTTTGGGTTTAAATATTCAAATGTAAAAATCAATAAATTTTTGCTAAATATGTAAAAGTGATAATTAATATTATTGGCTAATTTTGGGTTTAAATATTCAAATGTAAAAATCAATAAATTTTTGTTAAATATGTAAAAGTGATAATTAATATTATTGGCTAATTTTGGGTTTAAATTTTCAAAAATTAAAAATCAATAAATTTTTGTTATATATGTAAAAGTGATAATTAATATTATTGGCTAATTTTGGGTTTAAATATTCAAATGTAAAAATCAATAAATTTTTGCTAAATATGTAAAAATGATAATTAATATTATTGGCTAATTTTGGGTTTAAATATTCAAATGTAAAAATCAATAAATTTTTGCTAAATGTGTAAAAGTGATAATTAATATTATTGGCTAATTTTGGGTTTAAAGTTTCAAATGTAAAAATTAATAAATATTTATTATATATGTAAAAGTGATAATTAATATTATTGGCTAGTTTTGGGTTTAAATTTTCAAAAATTAAAATCAATAAATTTTTGCTAAATATGTAAAAGTGATAATTAATATTATTGGCTAATTTTGGGTTTAAATTTTCAAAAATTAAAATCAATAAATTTTTGTTAAATATGTAATATGTAATGTATGTATAAATTTTTTAAGTTATCTAACCTCACGGAACTGTATGTGTTATGTTGTATAGTTTTTTATATACATCACACTCCTACCTCTCTCTAAAACCTACCGGTTCTCTATAAACAAAATTTTCTATGAAATTGCTTTAAATTTTATTTTATAATTTTTATTTAAAACTCATATTTATTGTGTATTGTATTAAATAATAGCTAAATAAAATACAATATAATTTTACTTATTATTAATAAATTTTATTAATCAAAACTAAAATTTTTATATATTAATAATCTAATGACTAATTTACTAAAAAGATATCCCATTTCTAATAAGCTATTATTTCCTTTATATAATTAATTTATAATAAATTAAATATAAAATTTTAAAAACAAATTACATTATAAAATAAATTAATAGAAAACAACAATAATAAATACAAAATCAATTGTGATATACAATACAATAGTATATAGTGTTTATAATTATTATCGGAGCACTAAAAATCATTTTGAAAACAATATACCGGTATTTGTTTACATTTTATCGGGATTTAGTCTTTTCGTATAATAGACGATACAAATAATTTGTAATGTTTTATCATATAATAAATGATTTATAATTAAGTATTATTATTAACTTTATAGCATCCAATAATTTAACTTAAATATAACATAACTCACAAAAATTATATAATGATGCTTTATAATAAAAATAGTTAAGTATAATATAAATAAATATACCGGGTAACCTAAATGTATATAATTGTATAAACTTTTGAAACAACATTTTATGATAAGATCACTTCAATTAACCAAAGCTCCCAATAAGTACAGTATAATAATCATATGTATTAACAATGCAATTACATTTTGTTTGTAAAATAATTAAAACAATAAACTTTGATTTGTGTGATATATACTGTAGTAAAACATAATTATTTCGATCAAATAAAAAGTTTAAGCGATGTATAAATTATAACATAAATGATAACAGAATTAGATTTTTAAAATAAACACAGAAATTATGCATTTGTTTTAAATACAAAATCTGATCACATTATACAACACTGGCCCGCATTCTGGTCGGCATTTAATCCGGGAATGTTTCCAATGTTAAGGTCTGGAGGCAGACCCGCACCAAAGTCGGGCAAATCACCGATCAGATCACTGGGTGGCGATCCGCAGCTCTGCATCGCTTGCATTACAGTTAAAATACGTTGAAATCTCTCTTTTTTGACGGCTTCGCTGTCTTCAGTTGATTCAGAGTCAAACTCTTCGCAAACTTCTTTCATGAGTTCCATCTGTTTTGTATATCTCTTGAGCTCTTCAGCTGATAATTTGTCTTTGTTTTCATTAAGAAATGTCGGATACTATTTGAAAATATATTTTAATCGCTAATTATAAACAAAATCTCAATTATTATCACCTTTTCTGCCAATTCATTGAGTGCCGGATATAATAACTCTTTTGACAACAAGTTTTGCATCATATTAGTCATCAAAGGCATCAAATTAGCAAAATTGTTGGAACCGTTCTCTTCATCGTCGGCTCCAATACCCAGATTAGACCAAATTCTTGCCAATTCTTCTTCTGACAAATTGTTTTCCTCTCCGACCACTGCCTGAGCCTTATCTGAGATAGTCTTCAGTGTCTCCTGTAATGAGTGTTGAAATTCGTCTTCATTACTGGCAGTGGCTGTCAATAAAATCATAAAATTAGTTTATCTTAACATATGATAACCAATTCAAGTGCAAACCCGCTTCGGCGCACGACTTTGTCAGTCGAGACCAATGCTCTTTGAGTTCGGGATCAGAGTTAATGAGCGGCGAAAACATTTCATCAAATTTTGCTAAATCTTCATTGAGTTTATCATCAAAAGGATCACTTCCAACATCCGGAGCACTCAATTCAGGTATAATTTTCTTGTTATTAATCAAATCATCACAAGTGGTCACAGATGTGGTCGCCGAAGCACTTTTCGGATCAGTATTTGTGGGCTTAATATTGAAGTCATTTAAAGCACCTAAAGATAAAAGACATCAATTTATATGAAAATAATGACAACATATATGGTCTCTATTATCAATCAAATTCAATATTATATCAATAGATCCATTAAAATACCAAAAAATATGTCTTAAAGTGACACCATTTGAGGGAAAACCCCAATAAAAGACATCATATTTAAGACAACACTTACTGTCCAATAATGAGGACAACTCGTCGTCCACTTCGGGATCAATCGATCGGTCTTTCGCTGACTTGTCTTCATTTGTTTCATTTGTTGACATAATTTGTTTATTCTTCGAGATATCAATGAATTCACACTTAAATCACAAATAGTTTAATAATAGAAATAATGTTTTGTTTGATTTCAAACATTCATAACAAACGTAACCATTATTTATGGACTTTAAATGTAAAAACAATTTATTAATAATGATATATTAAATTCATTAAAATATTAACAATCAAATAATTAATTAATAAAAAATATATGTTTTGAAATTTATTTACTTAATATTTATTTGTAATTTAATTAATATTATTGATTTGATGACATTATATGCTTAAATGTTATGCATATATTAACTAATTTAAAGTGTATTTTAAATACAATATTATATAACATCCGTAACGTTATATATGTTAATCAATGTTTATATAGCAATCAATAGAGTGCCACACTTTACACAATAAATATATAAAACTTTTTTTTTATATCACTTTAATTAAGACTGCAATAAAAATTATTCAAATGAAAAGTTATTCAAATTAATTGATATTAGACTAGATTTTGAAATATAAATTTAATTATAAATACATTTTATTACTATTATTGTAAAGTATTTTTTCATTACAATCAAACAAATAAACTAACAAAATATTTTTTATTAATTTAACTACAAATAGATGTTTGATATTAATTTCAATGTGTAATCAAAGTTAATCAACAACAAAAAGTTTATACAAATTAAATTATCTTAATTTAGATTTTTTAAAATAATATTTAATAAATAATAATTATAAATTGTAATATATTTTTAGATAAATTTTATAAATTTTTTTTATTAAAAATTAATAAAAGTCTAAATAAAACTTTTGTTAATATAGACTAATAATAATCAAGTATTTGCACGATTGTTGTGTTAAGAAAACAATTGCAGAACAACTAAATAATAAGTTTTATAACAATAATAATGAAAATAATAATAATAATTGTAATAACTATAAATCATAGATAAATAAATGATAAATAAAAAATTGTGCGCTAATTAATTTTCTTAAATGGTAAGGCAATTATCATCAATAAGTCTAAAAACAAATGGCATTGCAATAAATGGTCACTAATTTCTAATATAAGCAAATTGTGGGCTTTTTTAAGCAAAAAGTCATGTGTTGTTTGCGTGACAATAGCTTTAATACAACTAACAAATAAAAAATCGCTATAAAAATCGTGCGTTTCTTAAATCAAAAACTAATTCAAACAATATTTTTGTTAATCTCTTACTCGATCACAAATATACACATATTTTCTATAAAGTATATAAAACTATTAAATACCATAAATTTTATTATTAAAAAACTTTTTATACAAACATTTATAAGTTTCATATTCAAACATTTATAAACATTATTTACAAACATTTATAAAAAATAATTTTAAAACATAATTTTTCAAAAAAAATAAATAAATTAAATTAACTCATTTATGAAAACAAACCGTTTCAATAAAATTATGTGTAGTTTGTAATTAAACTAAGTTAATGTTAATTTTTTAGTTGTTTTTTAATGAATAATAGACATTAAAATAAATAATTATTCATAAAGACTGGGCACTGGTAGGTCAAGGACAGTAATGTGATTTTATCTAAAAAACTTTATTAAATTATATAAAAATTAATGAATAATTACAATATATAAATGAATTATAAGTATTATTAAGGATAGATATTATTATATAAACAATATATCATATCATATTATATATCAGGGTTGCTAAAGGTTTTCGATTTCAGGGGGGGGTATAGGGGGAGGTAAAATGGCAAAATTTTCGAAAAAGCTTGGGGGGGGGGGGTATAGGGGGGGGGGGTGAACATTTTTTATTGCATTTTTAAACGACAATTTTTGCCAAATTTGAGTAAATTCCCATTAAATTCCCATTAAATTCCCAATAAATTCCCACTAAATTCCCACTAAATTCCCGCTAAATTCCCATTAAATTTTCAATAAATTAACAAATAAAAATATTCTCAACTTAATTTCTCAATACTCAAAATGTTTTCTAAATATTAAAAATTGCATAAATATATATATAACAAATATAATTATAATTATTAAATAAAAATATTATTTAGATTTTAAAAAAAATAGTTATTGATTAAAAATTAATGATATAATACTGTATTTATTAAAACGTTTTAATAATAATAATAATAAAATTGGCAGAAATAATTATTAATTAGTTCTAAATAATTAATTTAATTTAAAAATATATATTTTTTTAGTATTTTATATTGAACCATAACTAACACATTTTAATACTGTATTTATTAAAACGTAATATAAATAATTAGTTCTAAATAATTAATTTAAGAATATTTTTTTACATAGTATTTCATATTGAAAAATAACTAACACATTTTACTATAAAATTTAAAAATATTAAAATATAATAACTTTAAAATTTATGCTAAAAATTTGTTTTCTACTTTTAATAAGAAATAATATATATAAATATTATCATTTATAAAGGCTAAAAAATAAAATAAAATATTTGATTATTTTTTTTGAAAATTGGTGGGAATTTATTAGGGAGCTTTTTTCCTTGTGGAGTGCCCCAACTCTATTTATGTAATATTTAGTTAATATTATTATTATTATTTTTAAAGCACATAACTAACAAATTTTAATATAAAGTTTAAAAATATTAAAATATAATTATTTTAAAATTTATGCTAAAAATCTTAGTTTTCGACTTTTAATAAGAAATAAAATATATATTATCTTTTATAAACAGCTATAAATAAAATAAAATATCATTAATTTTTTTGAAAATTTGGTGGGAATTTATTTTTTAGCTTGTGGAGTGCCCTAACTAGTGTAAATAATGTTAAATTGATGTAATTAAGCATTTTTATCTATTTATTTTCTATACATAAGCTATTAATTTATATTAAAACTAATTTAATATTTATTTTTTTGTTTAATATAAAATTTTACATAATTGAAAAAAATTTTCGGCGCCTTCGGCGCCGAAAATTAGTAGGGGGCCCCTAACTTTCTGGCTTCAGGCCAGGGGGGGAAAAGCCAAAATTTCTCGATCTCAGGGGGGGGGTAAGACGTCTTACCCCCCTACCCCCCCTTTAGCAACCCTGATTATATATATATATGAATAATACTATTGTAAATTTAATAACAATTCAAATAACCACTGATCTTACACTAAATAAATAAACAAATTATAATTATAAATACAATACATTTAGTTTAATTAATATAATATAAGTTTAGTTTATTCAATGATACATTGAATGAATATAAGTTTATTTTTCAAAAGTATCGTAAAAATGAAATTATTTAACTTTTCTAACTCTTTCCCTCTAAAGCCCTCAACATTGTCGATACAATAATCAAAAAATAAATATAAAAGTAATAAATAAATACATTACTATTTAAATATATTTAATTGTCAATGATTTGCAAAATTTGTCACTTAAATAATTATTTATTTACTTAACAAACCGATTGTTATAAAATGCAATTTTAACAAAAAGATTGTTACTGTATGTGTCAACTTTGTTAACATCAATGCGTGCTTTTAGTCATTAATTAAGATACAGACTAAAGACATTTTGAAATAAATATCAAATTAAATAATTTTTTAATAATGTGTTAATTTTTTTGCTCAAAATATATTTTACTCACAATAAGGTGCGTCTATTTTGTAGTAAATATTTTTTTTTTGGAAATTATATATATATATTAAGGGGTTATATCTTGAATCTCCTTTAACCTCCTATATCTGAATACTAATATTTATATTTATAATTACAGAGAGTTTAATATTTTTATAATATTCATGGAGTAATCAATTCAATGGTTTTGATTAAGAAACGCACGATTTTTAAAGGAGAAACACCTGTCTTATAGTTATAGGAAAATCATACCAATCATACCAAACATATGCATATCTGTGTTGTGTTTGTAAGTAATGTTCAAAAAGAGTCGACTCCTAAACAATAGCCAAAACTTGTTCATTGGTTTTCCTCATCACCTGTTCCTCAGTAGCAACAAATGCTTGTCCCGCAATTGTATAGCATAATTAGCGACATTAACGGGTCAATCACTTACAGTGCGCTTATGGTGTTTAAAGTTTGTGAGATTTGTTTGTTGTTATGTAAACATTAAGTTATGGACCGAAGTGGTCGCCAAACATTACCGGTGGTCAGCCGTAAAGGCTTAACACAGGCCAGAAGTGCCAGTGTTTCCTATGATTTAACACCCGAAGGACAAGACATCGCTGAAGCAGACAGAGAATACCAGCGACAACAAGAACTCGGAAGATGTGCTTCAGATCTGGCAATGGAGGCCATGGAGTATAAGTTCTTATCGCGACGTAAACGACTGATGGCTCACAGATTATTGCAGAGCAAAGACAGACCAGAAAGTCCCGAAAGACCGTCAGTGGTTCCGCCTCCTCCACCACCACCACCGCCACCTCCTCCTCCACCGCCACAACATATAACACGCATCGACACTAACGGTAATGTTATGACTATAATAGAAAAACAGGATAAAAAAGATAAGAAATTTGAAGAACAAAGGAGTAAAAAATACGAGGAATGGCTGAAAAAGTTAGATGAGGTCAATGTGATACCTACTTCTGCTAAAGAAAGGGTCAAAAAATTAGAGGAGGAGCTCTTTAGACTCAAAAGAGCCACTGAAGAGACTGATGCCAACACTTTGGCCAAAACTTATAGGCGACGGCTTATGGAAACAGAAATAGAAAGGGATAGAGATATTGATATAATGTCTCCAATCAGTTATAAAGCTAAACCTGACTTACATTATCCATACGCCAAACTGATATCCCGGTCCACTCAAGTGGATCCACGATTGACTAACGATGTTTCGGTTAACACTGAAATTGATTTCAGGTATTTTTATTATAAACTTTTTTTTTGAAAAAAAATCTGTTAGTGATTATTAAAAAATATATAAATCCCAACACAAGTTATCTATTTGTGTGCTGTATATAACTATAAAATGTTTGTTAGAAAAATGTACTGAAATTTTTTATACGAATTAAGATTAATTTTGCTAAAAAGGTTAATGAGTGCTCTGTTGGATAAACTATTGGTTGACAGCGCTTCGGTTGTCGTCCAAACCGATTGGAAAAACGCTGTGACAGACACTCGCGATGTCGGCGTATCCACTGATAAGATGTTTCGCCAACGATTCTCAGCGCTTCCACAGACCAGAACAATGTCCGTACAGACAGAGATGTCGGCACTTAAATATAGAGATAAATCTGTGGCAACTGATCTCGATATTACAGGTTTGTCTATTATATTACATTATTTTCTTTTTAAATTTCAATTAAATTATATATAAATATAATTATAGATAAATTCTATTATTTTTATTTGAAAATATTATACATAATTAGCAATTGATGTTTTATATTTAATACATAATAAAATGTATAAGTATTGAATGCGTTATTCTACTGTATAGAATCTATACAATAGACTAAACTAAATAGATAGACTAAATACATAAATAAATAACTATAAATTTACAATAGTTATTTTATTATTATTTCTAAATGACATTGATGAGTTATAGCTAAAAGATATGACCAATTTACGCATGAAATAATTTTTATGACCAATATTTTATTTGTTGTAATTAAAAAAAAAAAAGTTTTCTATATAAATTAGTTCAATAATGTAATGTATGTTTATTTGATTAATTGAAAAAATATTAGCAATAAAATTTAATTTTACTGTTTTTTTTGTTTGTTTGTTATTATTATATGACAACATAATAAAGTCTCGTGTCATTAAATAGTTTTGGTTCTTACAAATTGAAAATATTTATTTGATTTTAGTTTTTTTTTGTTATGCAACAAATAACATGTTTTGTTATTCAAAACTTTTAATAATAATAAAAAAATAAAATAAAATTAGGTACTGCCAGATGATAAAATGATAATATACAATAAATAATTTATATGTATATAAACTGAAATATGATAAATATATAATTACACATTGTGTATTTTATGTATTGATTGATTTGAAAGCATATTTATTTTGCAGTTCACATACATGCATATAATACATGCAAACATACAGTACATATATGGACAAAATATGTTTTGAGAAATTTAATTTTATTAGTTGTGAAAACAAAACTTTTTATTGCATTGGAAATAATATTCATTTCAAAAAATGAATTGAAATTTTAAACATATTTTTATTACTATTATTTAGTCAGTTTAATACTTAATAATGAATGATAGAACAATGCAATGTTAAATAAAAAAATATATATAAATAATTAAACCTGTTTAACACATTTAAATTTTTAGTGATTTTTTAAATAGATAACAACAATATTGTAAATATTTTTGTTTTACGATATATATGGTGTATATAATTTACTAAACAGTATAGTATTTATATTTAACATTTTTTTCATGACTTTCACCTAAAACTCGAAGTAATAATTATATATTAAACTAATAAATTCAATGAATATTCTGCATAACAATGTTTTTTAAACAATCATTCATTCTGTAGGCCATCGACACAGATATAGGTCAACACTTCGTGAACTGTCAATACCTGTAACCCGGATATCATCGGCGGCTCAGACGGACCTCAAATGGTTCTTCAGAAGAGATGTCGCCTGTGAGGCCAATCTGTCGTCATTCTCGTCCGAATCGGAAGAGTCGGTAGTATCGGCCTATCCTAAAGGATTTCACCCGAAAACAGGTCAACTCATCGATCAGAGTTTACTATCAAATTATTATAAACTTAAAGATCAAAGTGCTGTCAAACAATCCGGTGCTAAACAACAGACACATCGCGAACAACAAACACATCCATCGATGGAACGAATGTATAGATCATTGAAAACCCCGGAACCTATAATAGAAGAATACGGCGCAACAACCACTGCCACCGCAACGTCGTCTTCAGATTCCAACTCTGAGGGCGACTATAGCTGTGAAAATGTTAGAGAAATATATCGGGAAAAGTTTGCCGAATATAAGACACACACAAAACCATTGCAAAAGAGCTATTATCACATGAGATCTGAAGAGAAAAAGTTTAACACAGAGTTCAGTGATAATAAAAAACATACAAAAGATAAGAAACAGTATTTGGAAACAGATCTTCAAAGTTATGATAGAGAACCACAACGACTGGACATTAAACAGAAATCCACTGCCAAAAAGGTTTTAATTTAATCATTTATTTCAAATGTTTATTAATATTTAATTAATAATTAAACCAAATTTATATATTTATATTATCTAAAAATTTATAATTATCTTTTAGCAGAAACCCGAAGTGCATCCAGAAGTGAGTCACAAATCAACGCTTACCACTACTTTGCCACCAAAATCTACGCCTATAGCAAAATCATTGCCAATTATGAGATCAATGGAGACACAAACCAATGGTGAGTTGGTTGTGGCGGAACAATCTGTACCAAAACCAGTGATGAAAGTGACGCCCGGAAAGGATTTGAGAACTGAATCAAAGATTATAATAGATGTGACAAAAGCTAATAAAAAAGAGAGAAGTGAAGTGACATCACTAACCAAACTGGACGACGAGGGCAAGATGTCTCGTACCACACACGTCACCACAAGTCAACACATTCCCGTCAGACCAATGATGGACACTAAGCCTATGCCACGAATTACTGATGGATATCAAAGTATACCATTGAGATCACAATCACCTCAAAGATCTATGCCATCACCCATACGTAAGGCACAATCGGAAATCGATGTAACACCAGCCAGCAATGTGTCTACCCGTCCTGCATCGGCCGATGATTTATCAATGCCACCCATAAGCATAGCGCCACAGATACCGTCTACAATGAGTTTTGGATCGTCCACTCATAGCTTGAAGTCATCACTTAAGACTCCGAGTCCCACATTTCGTCACTACGACACTGAAGATATAACTGTACCAAAGATTGGTCGGGTCAGCATTCAAGACCCATTGCATCTCGTGGTAATCGCACCGCCAGATAATTTTGGTAACAAATCCATGTCTATGAATAGCAACGGTTTGCTTATACCTATAGACAAGTCCCGATGGAAAGAGACTTCCAGTTCAACCATTTGTAATGAGATGACTACCGATGCCTTTAAAGATGAAGATGGTTTGGATAATAGTTTTGAATCTTTAATCATAAAATTAATTTTGTAAAATTTTTTATCGTTGAACTAAATATGAATTTAGGTGTCGTTCAACAGCCTAAAGCAATATCGATGTCCACCGAAACACTGATTGAGAGCAAAGGCGGTGAATCTATGGTAAAGACTCGCTCGAGAACTGCCCGTAAGTATGGCAATGAAGGTCAGGAAAAATCAATAACCAATGAAATGGCATTTAATGGGTCGAAAGGTATGTCATAAAAGTAATTATCACTTTATTTGATGCTATTTTTAATATTATTATAATATAGTTATCATTGTATTGATATAAATATTAATCATTTATAAATATTTGATTAATTTTTATCAAATATAAAGATTACTTGAAAAACAACTTTCCATACATCGATACCAAACCACCAAAAAGATCGTTTTCACCGCCACATCGAACCTCATCATCACCAGTGGTAACATTAGTTGATACTCCGGAGTTTTTGAGTCCCGAACCACCGGAACAGTTGCCGAAAATGATTAGCACAAAGATGTCACGCGTGTCGACACCCGATAGAGAGAAACGAGATCCTTCTCTGGTCACAGATGTCAGTACATCTCGTTATCGACCGGACGAAGAACTAACCAAACGATTGGTGCAAAACACGTCGCGAAGGGCTGCTGTTGTTGAACCGGTTCAACAATACAAGCCAGCCGTCAGTAGCGACACAAACAACACGGCTGTCCCAACAACAGGTCCACCGCCAGCCACTGAAATAATATCACGTATTATTAGGACTTCTGAATTGGATGAAAGTAAAAAGTTTCGCAAATCTAAGACCGTTTTTGAACAAGAATTACAATCAGCTCGCGATGGACCCGGAGGTGGATGTCATATATCGACAAGCATTGCGTTTGATAATCCCGTTCCTCAAAGTAGTGGTGTTATTATCAAAGAAATCAATGAAGATGGAACTTCAAAAGTATTATCACTAATTGTTATCATTAATTAAAAATATCAAATGATTTACCAATATATTTACAGAGCGGATCCACCGATACTTTGGACCGGAGGTCTGGTGTATCCGGAGTTTCGGGAGTATCGGGAGTATCGGGAGTATCGGGAGAGATAATGACTGAAACAAATTTCCAGCGCTTCAAATCACCACAGATCGGACCAAATGTCAGTGAAGAGACCTCTTGGAAGTACTCAATGCAATGCAATTATCTTAACGGCACAAACACTACCTTCCGGTAAGTTGTTTCCAATCCTTGAGCTCATACTATCCTCATATACACACTATCTGTCTATATATCTGTCCTTAAGGTCATCTATTGTTGTCTTTTCTAATTCTGCAGAACAACCATTGATTACAAACGGATTAAATACCCACCGCTGACATCATATGAGACCAGTTTATGACTGATTCTTATTATTTTAGTTTTAATTTTTATGCATTTCATATCATTTATTATTATTTAATAAATATTATACTTTTATAGTATGATATTATAAATATACTCTATGTTATACAACTTGTATTCTAAAAGTTTATTTTATATTTTAATTTGTTGTTTATATAATTCTAATATAAAAAATGTTTAAAATATGATATTATAAAAATTTACAAAAATATATAAATTAAAAATTAATTTGTTATAAACAAACAAAATTATAAACACATTCTTTAAATTATAAAAACTTTATACTATTTCTCGTCTATCTTTTTGTATTGTATTGTCAAATCAATTTTATTAATGTAAACTTATATAAAATAAGTTAATCTAATTTGTCTAAAATTATTACCATAATTGTCTAAATTATTCACATTGTTTTATATTGAACTAAAGTAATTGTATTTTATTTTTTCTACAATTTTATAATAATTTTTAATAAAACCGCTTGTAAACACTATTTTATCAATATAAGTATCTAAACTGATATTTTATTTTTGTGAAAAATATTTATATTGATACTTTAATTATAATTAAAATTTTGAATTTAGTTTATTCTACATAATGCAATGTATAATGAAATACCGTAATCTAAATTTTAGTTATAAAAAATTGGTATTTGGATATAATATTATATAAGTAATGTTCAATTTTTTATATTCCAGTTAATTATACAGTACTACTGAATATTAATGAGATAAATTTATAATAATAAACTATTACATAAATAAATAATTTTAACACAATATTGTAATTTAAATCAATAAAAATAAAATTTAATTACAAAATTGTGTTAAAATTAATAAAAACTCAAGTAATTATTTTTAAATATAAAGATTTTTATTAAAAGCATTTCATTTAAATATCATAACAGATGGATTCAAACTTTAAACATATTGTTATCAATTTTGACAAAAAATAATAATAATGTTATTTTTTTATTATTTCAATAATGAATGAATATCTCATTAGAAATATATATATATAATTTATTAAAATAATATTCAAAGCATATACTTGTTTGATTGATTGATAATTTTATAGAACCGGTAAATCAAATATCAATACTTATAATTATAATTATAAAGACTATTTACATAAATACTATATCAATAATAATAATAATAATAATAATAATTATGGTATATTGTTAATAACAATTAATACATTATTAGATGTTAAAATAGAGGATATTAATACTAAAAAAATATTTTAATAAAAGACCTCATCATTGCTTAGAAATATATAAATATAGAACATTAATATTAATTGAAAAAAATATTAAACTAAATGATTGTCAAACATTGAAAATAGTGATATTAATAATAATAATCTAAAGAAAAATAAAGTTAAGCACAGATTCTCAATAGAAATTCAATAAATTTGTAAATTTTCAATAATTTTTGCGATTAATTAATTAATTAATAGTTCATTAATGGCTTTCTAGGGGTTGACGTTTGAAAAAATAGGAAATTATGTTTGCAATCCATTTGATGGTCGGTGTAGGTCTGTGTTGGTGATGCCTGTGACGAGTGTTTGCCACTACTGGTTACCGACGAACTGTTAGTACACGAAGAGGATAGAGATGAAGATCTCGAGCGAAGGGAATCGCCGTGAGATACACGTCGAGGAAGGGTTCCGTTGCTCTTATAGTTAGGTGTTTGCGGATCTGTGGGTGCAATCAGATGAAAATGTAGACATCAATGATAATTGTAAACATTTCAGAGAAAGTTATACATACCTTGAATGGGTGTCTCGTCATACAGTGAACCGGGAATTCTGTTTTTCAAATACATGGGCGCTCTGGTGGGCGATGGAGATGGGATAGGCATATGATATTCAGCTACCGATTCCCAGACAGCAAAGTCTTGTATGGTTTGTTCCAAATGTTTGGCCCATAACCTAACGTCACTCATTCCGTTGTCATTTAGCATTACATAGCATTTGTCGTCACTACTAATGGTTAGCGCATTTGATCCGCAATTTACTTTAGTCCTGTTAGTAATGGGAATCACGACATCAGCGTCAACTCCATCAAAACGTTTCTTATTTGATCCATAACTCGATGAACTGTTTCTATCGTACTTTTTAGACCACAGTTTCAGTTGGAAGTTCTTGAGTGACGCCCAATATATTGATTCAATCTTTTGTGCTCTTATGGACGCCTCTTTGACTTTCAAGTAACCGGCGATGCGTTCAATATTCTGACAATCGGGTTGTACGGCTAGTCGACAGCAAAAATGGCCAAACAATGGTAACTGCCAGTGCCTGTTCTCCAGATTTTCAATCACCAGATCATGTGTTTTGATGGCATCGGACGCATCTTTAAGACGCAGTGTTGCGGTGGCCACCAAATGAAACTTTGGACCCGTTTCCGAATCCATATCATCTTTGACAGCAGCGGCCAACTTTCGGCCCAATGTTTTCGATACCGAAGTAGAGATTTTTTTAGATAACTTTCTGGGCGTTGAAGCGATGCTAAGATCTTCGTGAAGAACACGCGAATAGACCTCCAGTCGAAACTCGAAATCCGGAGGAATGTTTTGGAAGACACAAATGTCATCAAATTGGATGTCTGTCGTACTTCTGTCCACATTTGTTACCATAATTGTGTCGTATATTTCTGTGCCGATCTTCAGCAGACAAAATACAGCAAACCGTCGATAATCTCCTTTGTTTTTGAAGTGATCCGAGTCTTTCCATATCAATGGCATCCGGATATCTATATAATACAAAAAATATTAATTCATTAACAAAACTATAAAAAAAACTCTTATAATTATTATAATAATTTAATATTAAAATATCTTAATTAATCCTCGTTTAATTACTTAATTTATTTAAAAAATTGTAATTATTTACTATAGGATTTTAATCTAAATAGTGTAATTTTAATGACAAACAAAACAAAACAAAAATAATTAATTATGGCTATAAAAATAGTTGTTAATGAATTTAATTAATGTTTGCAATCTTTATAATTTTAGAATTTATCAAAAATAAAATTTTTAAAATCAAAATTTGAATAATTTTGAATTTGATTTATTTTAATGGCATCACAAACTGCAAGTTGAAAAGCTTGCAAATCAATTATTGTATTTTCAACACTTGCTTATTGTGTGATTTTTTGAATATTTTTTATAATATTACTATTTTACTAATTTGCAATTTCAAACGCATAACATTATGATATTTTAATATACCATATAAATGATAATTTTAAAAAATAGTACATGGATCATTTTTCAATATTTTTCAACAGTGAGACCGTATTCTTAATGGTCTAACCATTATTACCGCACATTTCATTTAAAACTCGACAGAGCTTTTCATTTATGGTTTCCCAATGTTTAGGTATTTCTCTCTATTAATATAATTTGGTTCCCATAGTATACGATAAAAATAAAACAAAACTTAAACCACAAGTTCCTGAATATTTACTCTAAATGTACTTATTTTTTGTTATCTTTATACTGTCGCCCAAAAAAAAACATAATGAATAATAACCTCTACTGTCAACTATTAAACAGAGTTTCCCATAAATAATATCAATTGTCTCAATAAGACAAATGGATATCAAACATAGTGAGAATATTTGTAAAATTCAACACACATTAAGTCAAACAAGTTTTTTGTTATTATGTAACTGAAATTGTGATTTACGTTAAAATGTATGTTGTAGTTAATGATCAATGAATTATTATGAAACTGCCTAACATATATGATATAATATACAGTAAGTTTTAAGAAAAAAAATTCAATAAAATTTTATATAAAAAGAAATATTTTCATAATAAGTATATATAAATTTTTTTATAATCTCACTTTACTCCTCCCAAGTTTTTATTTATCATTTTTTTTGCTATATAAGGAAACAATTTTAATAAGTATTTAATTGATATAAATTACATTCGACAGTATTATCAAACTTGATAATAGAAATTTGATTGACATATATTAGTTCATAAACATAAATAAAATTAAAAATAAATTGTTCATTAATAAGTTAGTTAAATTTTAACGTTACTTTTATGATATACTGTGCTAATAAATATGTAAATAATATCATATAATACCTAATAATAGCAACATTTTATTATGAATAAAACCGGAAAAGTATATAATTGTATATAAAATATAAAAGAAAATCATTGTATTATTCAATCGTTGAAAGGTTCTCTTTATTTCAATCATTTCAAAATCCACATAATATTATATATAATATAATAAATTTGTGGCAAAAACGCTGAAAACGGCATAAAATCAAAATAAATACTATGTTTTATAGTCAACTAAACGCCCGAATAATTTCCTAAACAAATGGACAGTTGATTGTATTATTATCTTATTTTGGGATAAATAAATATAAACTAAATAAGTTATAAAATATTGCTGTCGACTAGACATTTATTATTTAAAAATTAACATATTTTAATGTTTTTGATCTTATATACAATATATTTATAAATCATAAAATGTATATAATTAGTTATTAATGAGTTTATAACACTACTCCTAAAATTTTATTATCTCAATTAAATAAATTGTATTTTTTTAATATAAGTCATTATAGTATAAATAAAATATGATAACAGTCGACCAAACCATTGAATTGTCATTTATAAAATTTGTTACAATCAACTCAACAATCAATAATTTGACGTAAGGGTGGATTTGGCTAATATTAAATGAGAATATATGAATTGGACTCATAAGGTAATATAGTTCACAGATATTATATAAATTTATATATATATATATATATATATATATATATATATATATATATATATATATATATATATAGATGGATAGATATGTTGGTTATATTTGAGAAAAAACTAACAGTGCATTCATTGAAAACAAGAATTTAGACTAATTTAATGCAAATGATAAGTAAGTTAAGAGTCGAAAGTCAAAGCAAATACTCACCAGAAACTGAAACTTTTGCTTTTCCGCCGTCGCCTTTAGGGTTCAAATATTTCCTTAAAGTAAAATAAATGATTAAAATATTTTCATTTAATTTAAATTATTTGTATCAAAAACATTTGTGTATTTCAAAATATGAAAAATGTACAAATCATTGCTCCAATTTTAAAAAGATAAAAAATTGAAGTTTCAATAGCCTGTTATATAATATTGTCATTAATTGCATTTGACATTATGTTTTGATCAAATTGACCAATATTTTACATTTTAGATAAGAATCTAAATTAAAAAAATATTAAAAATTAATAAAACGGCAATTAAAAATAGTTGAATTAATATTTTCTATATTAATAACAAAACTAATAATTAAAAACAATCTAATTTGTAATAATAATAATAATGATTAATTAAAATAAAAATGAAAAGTTGAATTACTAAATATTTAAACGCATACAAATCATAAAAATTATCTAATTTATTATCATAATTAAGGAAAATTGTTTTATATAAATTAGTAAATATTTAAATTATTACATTAGATTTCATAAGATAACAATTTTTTCAAAAACCTATACAATAACAACAAATTCTACCACAAAATTATAAAAATTAATATTCACTATACATATCATGTACTATACAATAACTTATCTTAAATATTTTATAAGTATATAGTATAAGAAATTTTTTATCTATAGATTAAAATAATTATAAATTTGCGTTAAGTTTTAAATAATTTATATACAGTATATATAATCTTTGTGTTGTGCAATATCAATGAATATGTTATTAAAATATCCAAATTGATTGCAATGAATAAATTACCAGTGCTTCATAAGTACAAGTAAATAATATGTTAGTTATATGAGTCTAATAACATATTAAAAGTTAAATAAGCTTTACTTAAATTAAGATAATCATGTGATATAAATCTTTTTTTTTGAACAGCAATTAATGACATTATATTATAAACAGATTATAGTTCACATAGATATTCATGTGATGGCAATGACTAGAAGGGGGTATATATTTGGGTTTTTTTTAATGAGTTTGACTATCAATTTGGACATACATTTTGAGGTCCACTTTGTTTAGCTGTCTTTCGGCGGCTCTTCGGCGCTGAAGTTCACTCATATATGCGATCATCCGTTCATTGGATGTGAGCAAAGATTTGGCCGCTTCTAGGGTTTGGTTGGAGTGTTTACAGGCGGCCAACAATTTGGTGGTTCCCTCTCTCATCTTTATCTCCAAATCAATCTTCTGCTCCAAATCATACTCCTATAGACAGACAAAAAAAACATGTTATATAACTTTAACATAGATTACTATAATTATGATCGATATTTTCAAAAAATACTAATTATGTAAATTAGATTTCAAAAGTATTTTAATTATAATATTATAAATTCATTTAATTTGAAATTTAAATATAAATACTGTAAATTACATTTATAATGATCTATACAAATGAAAAATGTCTCGTTTTATTTTGCATTCAAGGAGAAAAAGTGTTGCAAATTAAGTGCAAAATTATTAATTACAGCCAAACTTATTGATATTGAAATTTTCTTATAATTTTGAATTGTATAGATTGTAATGATAAATTAAAATAACTGGTATTTCAATCATGTTTGCAACTAAATTTAAATATACATGTATTATCTGAAACTTATCACTTAAAAATACTAAATTAAACATTCGTATTAAAAACAATCAATATATACTATAATATGACTTTCATAAATAGATTTAAACTTTTATTTTAATTATCGCCGATATTTTAAATATAATGATAAATAAAAACAAAACACTAATAGTGATCATTAAATAATAATGTTTTATATATTTAATAGTTTAACAAAACATGACTTATTATATGAAGACAGACAACGAACCCTTTAGTTAATGAACTTCACGTTTGAGTTCAAAAACAATGTAATCACCACTTAATTCCCAAAATTCTTAAAATTTATGATTTTATTTAATTATTATAATTATTTTTAATACATATTGTATTTAATTATTATAATATTATATATAGCGAGACCCTCCTCTCTGATAATTGTAGTCTAATAACATAACTAAATACTTAATAATATGATTATATTTTTGTTAACTATTTTTCATAATTATTATTGACCATAATAGTCATTTATAATAATAATAATTATTATTATTTTATAATTAATATACCATACAGGTTAGAAATTTTTTTTAATAACTAAGTATTTAGTATTATATAAATTTTTAAAACTTAAAACTATATCAAATTAATTATAATATTACTAGTAATTAGTTTTCGATAATTTTATTATTTTATCATTAGATTACAAAACTGTAAAATCTCAAATTTAATAATCTTAAATATATAACTATAATTATAAATACAAAATATATGTAATTTGTAAATAAATTGTTTAAATGTATATACTGTACATTACAATACAATATAAGTAGATTTGTAATTTTATTCTCAAAATATATAGATATAATGTTTCAAAAATCATAAGTTAAATAATAATTTATTGAGTAACTGGTTTATTACTTTTATTGCTATAAATAACTTTATATTTAATTAAAAAAAAAATTCAAAATGTTATTAAATATCTTTTTCAATATCATTTCTATATTTATCATAATTTATTTTTAAAAATAACATTTTTAATTTTAAATATCATCATAGATTGTATAAAAACTTTTTTTTAGTAGGCATAACAAATTAATATTAGGGTCACCAACACTTGATGATATAAAATGAAATCAAAGTTAATAATAATGTGAAAGTGTTATTCATTATCATTAAAAATATATGTTGTATTAATCACTTTTTTGTCTAATTTAATTAAAAATATAAATTTAATTTTAGTTAACAAAAAATAAAAAGTAACTCATTTTAATTGAATTCCATTTTATAGTATTAATAAAGTTTCACTTAATTAAAAAAAATGTTAAGTCTAAACATTATTATGATAAAAAAACATGTTTTCATAGGTATTTTTATATAAATAGCTAAAAATTTTAATATAAATCATACCATCAGTTTTTGATGATGAGATTACTGAGTAATTAAAGTTTTCATATAATTTTTAAGATTAAAACCGTAAAAACTTTCATCAAAAATAAAAGATCTAACAAAACAACAACAAACTTATTGAACCAAATCTATGCTCTCATAGATTTAATTAAATTTTGTATATCTATTGCATGAGAAAAATAAATTATATGAATAATAATATGTTTAAAAAAAACAATTTATATCGATAACCAAATAATGTAATAATTTTTTTGTTGCAAATCTTTTCGATAAAACTAATTTATAAATAACAAAATGCTGTTATAATTATTTTCAAATCTATTTTTGTGTAATACAATAGCTGATGGCAAAAGAGTAAATAATATATTTATATTAAATTAGTTAATTGTTAACAAAATTGCTGTATTTAATTCATTCATTCAAAAATGTTATAATTGAATATACAATATAAAGAGTATTTAAATAAATTTTTTTATAAATCAAATTACAAAATGAAACGTTTAAAGAAAGAAAAATTGAGTTCAAATGTCAATGAAAAGCGTTACTAAAAAGTTTTAATTAGTTTAACAAACAAAACATAATATTATTCACTGTATGTGTAAATAATTTGTCTAAAAGCGTGACATTATGGGGTCAAACACACCGGTGGCTAATAATAATGATAGTTAAAACTCAATCAATAATAAAAAAAATGTATTTATAAAATATATAATCATTTCAATAGATATGATATATGTAATCAATTTTTATCAGTCAATTGCTTACCATCTTTTCATACAAAGGTAAGTATAAATTATAAATAAATCAATTATATTGTACTTCCAGTTAAGTCAAACAAACCATTTATTGTCACTTAATAATAAACAAACAATTAATAAACCAAAAATCACATGTTATAACAATACAATTAATATATCAGTGAACCAACACTTTCGCCAAATAATAAATGATATGGGATTATGATTAGTCAATATATTTGTTTGATATGATTGTTATATTTTATTGGACGACAAACTGACAACAAAAATACAATAATATATAATATAATAGATAGCAATGACTGCCGTTTTCGTTGTCATTACATATTGATTGAAACAAATTATCAAAAGTCATTGATATCTTATTATTGGGCTTTTTGTATGTTATATCAAACACAACATTTATACAAACAATTTTGTTATTCACTTATTTCATGAAACACATCATATGAAAGATACGATTATTATAAATTCAAATTTTTCTAATGCTTTCCACACATTAAATGATAAAAAAAATCAAACTTTTCAGTTGATGTCGTTGATGATAATAATAATAATTATAATCAGATGATATTGACAACTCATGTACTGTCATTCACTACAGTTTCTCGCATATGATTTTGAAATTACAGGTGTATAGAGTTGTCTATTGGTATAAATCTATTGATAAACAATTCAATAGTAATGTATTGCTGATAAAACATATACTAATATAAAGTATAATGATTATACAGTATATGCTAACTATTTAGGAACTGGTATATCTGTGATGACTTCCAATACCCAGTTATTGAAACGACAAAATAGTTTTTTTTTCAATTTGAAAAAGACGTTTAATATTTCAATTCATATAACAATTAATAGCTGACAGACAATAGTGGAGTTAATATAACAGATATATAAACATATAATATTATGTTATTACAGATACCGGTATTAATGTGTAAATGAGAAGCACAGGTGTGGGTAATGGGAAGGTTATGCTATCTTTGACTGACTTTCAGATGAAAGGGTTGTGTGAGAAGAGAGAGAGAGAGAGACTCGTGAAGAGAGTAACTGTTAATTACATTAATAATAATAATATCTCTCAACTGATATCCAACTCAATTGATACTAATATATGTGAAGACAAATATCATGACTCAAACCGGATTTCAAACTCATTTTTGTATTTTTCAAATTCAAACATTAACTCAAAATCAAATCAAACTATAAAATCAAAGATGACTTTTCGTTGTTTATTAACTTACTATTAATATCAACAAATCTTTTTTTGCTATTCATAAAACAAAATTAGTTTTGAATTAAATACAATCAAATGTAAAGTAAATGATAAACTTAAATAATAAAATAAAATTTGATTTATAAGCAAAAAATAATAATAAGCGAATGTCGATAAAATTATTATTTATAATAAATTATTGTATTCAAGTAATAAGTCATATGAAAAAATGAGACCAAATATTATTTGTTTGATATCTATTACAGAAATAGGGTTTCTTGTATAACACTCACAGACATTCATTTTTTAAACACATAATGTATTAGTGTTTATAAATATTTAATATATGTATTAATATATACCTGATATACAAACAAACAAAAATATTTACTCTGCATATATATATATATATTAGCAATATTTAGGACTTGAACTTGAAAATCAATAAATCAATTAAAACAATAAAAAATAATAGTATAATAAAAAACACTTTATGTAATAGAAATAACATTATTATAGTAAAAATAAATAAGTATTTCAATACTTTATTATACAATTGTTTTTTCTTTTGATATGTATTTGCTTAAAACAATATGTCATTTAATTGGCATATCGTTTAATAGGCTGTTGTATAGTATAGCTGCCACTTGTTGTTCACGCGATTAATATTTAATACAATTTTAAAGTTAAATATACGAATATCGCGTTAATTACAATAGATTTTATTAAATATAAATATATTATTATGAAATAATATTTTACATTGCAAATTAATATATATATACCTGTATATACTGTAATTAAAATTACATTAAAGGGTTGTATAATTGTTTTATACAATCAATTAAAATTATCTAAATTGTTGTGATACGTGTCGGCGCCAAAGATATTCGGCTAAATGTAGATAAAATCTTGTGGTATACCCCCTCTTAAAAGATTGCGTTTCATAGCTCTCCATTGAGATTCAATGGTCTGTGTGTTTGCACCGGTATGTGAATTGACAAACTAATGATTCACAGTAAAATGGACAAAACCTAAAAATTAAAAAATTAATTAACTTAATAATATGTTTTATCTATCATTTATACCATTGTCTGTTAGTCTATAATATCCAGCCCAACAGTCAGACACAATAGTACCCAATTTTTACATGCTTACGTATCAAAGGTAAAAGAGTGTCGGCATCTCTTTTATTTAGGGGACATATTTCTAAACGAAATCTACCTCCACGTCGACAATTATTATTTGAATCTCAACTAAACCT